ACTCAAGCCTACTCTAGTTGAAAGCAGCCTTTGTAATGAAAATTACTGTTGACCATAAACATGCCTGACCCTCTACATATGAATAATATTGGCTAACACAATTGTTAGAATCAAACCATAAGAAATACAAAGCTGTCAACAGTTTTTATAATTATACAATAAACAAGATGCAGATTATTTTTTATTTTGTTGATTAAAACTTTAGCTATACAGCATATTTCTAACATAAAGGTGGGCTGCCTTATAATAATCATTAGGTGTCTCAGGAAAGTCAGCTTGTTTTACCATTGCTAGTAGACTTGTCTTTCTGCTGGACACAAGACAGATACAACACAATATGAATATGCATCTAAGTAAATACAGAATTTTGAATGTTATTCCAAGTAACCTTTCAGGCTGATCATAAATTTTGCACACTACATCGCCTTCTCTGGTGTACAAATTCATCCTTCTCACTAGATATTTTAATGGAAATGGATTCTCCTCACCAAGAATAGTTTGTGTAAGCAAGCACAGAGCTTCAGAAAGAGAATGGTAGCCTAATAAAAGACCACTTAACCTCCTTCCTTCCCATCTCCTCTTTTGCATCAAACCTTGACCAACTTATTGAAATTCTCCTACAAAAATTTGGAAGCCAAAGCAGCTGTGACATGAAAGCCCATTAAAAAAAGCCACCCCAGCATGCTGGTTTTGGCTGGGATAGAGTTAATCTTTTTCATACTAGCTAATATGGGACTACATTCTGGATTTGTGCTGAAAACAGTGTTGATAATGCCAAGATGTTTTCATTACTGCTGAGCAGTGCTTACACGGAGTCGGCCTTTTCTGCTTCTCACCTCACCCCACCCCACCAGTGAGCAGGCTGGGGGTGCACAAGAAGTTGAGAGGGGACACAGCCAGGACAGCTGACCCCAACTGACCAAAGGGATATTCCAGACCATATAATGTCACGCTCAGCATATACAGCTGGCGGGGCAGAAGGAGGCAGGAGGATGTTTGGAGTTATGGCATTCATCTTCCCAAGTAACCGCTATGTGTGATGGAGCCCTGCTTTCCTGGAGATGGCTGAACACCTGCCTGCCGATAAGAAGTAGTGAATGAACTCCTTGTTTTGCTTTGCTCATGCACACAGCTTTTGCTTTACTTATTAAACTGTCTTTGTCTCAACCCACAAGTTTTCTCGCTTTTACCCTTCTAATTCTTTCCCCCATCCCACTGTGAGGGAGGTGAGTGAGTGGCTGTACGGTGCTTAGTTGCCAGCTGGGGTTAAACCACAACACCCAGTTAAAAAAACAGCACCACAACACCTTTTGACAACTGAAGCTTGAACAGAAAGAAAGGGTATTTTTGACAGAATGCTACCCTAGGCTCTATTGCACTCTTGAGTAACATCATCTGGCCAAGAAACACTTTACATGTCTCCTACTCCAGCTCTCAGTTGCTACAAAAGAGGCTTCATCACTTGGAAATAACTTGCATACTGAGCTGACTTCCAATTGACATGACTGGATAGTTGCAACCATCTTAACACAGCATATTTATCTCTCTGAAGCTTTTACAAAGATTATCTAACAACAGACACAACATACAAGTCCTCAAAGAGGACTTTTCATAGATAACAATTATGTCTGCATGTTTAGAGGGATAAGAAATGACAAAGAAACAACCAAATATTAAATCCTGCAGAAAATGGGCTTGCAGAAAATGCATCCTCATTGAAGAAAGTTCTCCTCTACTTTATAGCTGAGTAAATTTTTTGCAGTGCAAACATTAGTTAATGCAGTATGGCTCTAACAAAAATAAGCCATTAATTTGTGAAAGAGTAGTTAAGTGGGAACACCTACCATAGATAAAGATCCCATTGTGTTAGGCTGCATATTATGGTATTTATAGCTTGAGCACAAAAGCAAGTGTGGTGAGTCTTGAGCTTCCCCCCCCCC